AATAACACCTAAAGTACAAAATTCGATGGAAAACTAACAGAATTATGCAGGCGCAATGCTAGCAGTCTTGGCACAATTTACACTGGCATTTTTACCACGTTTGAGCCCTATTTAAAGCCAATTCCTTTGCTCCATTTGACCAAATTCTTAGCTATTTCACTATTACACCTTCTGTTTTATTGACTGAGCACAAGAAACTGCCCATTCAACTATTTCAACTACCCTATAAAATGCAATGAAGTCAATAACTTGGCCAATTTTATGAAAAAAAAAAAAAAAAAAAAATTAAAACAGTCCAAAATAATGCAGATATTCTTGGCACTAAAACATTTCCTCTGTTCATTAGTCACATCCCCAGACCTCTCCTATATTACACTCACTTTCCATTTTGAATTCTAAAATAGATTTACTCTATGTCTCGGATAATAAAACATAACTACGAATGATTGGTCATGGTTTATGGTGTCCCAATAATTAAATCAGATTTATTAAAACCCATAAAACAGAGTGTTCTAAGGAATATTGGCACCAATCAAATATTTCCACTACTTTGAGCTCAACTTCAAGCTACTGCTGGTTTTGAAATGCACAAAGTATGTCTTCCATTGTATCAAATGATATCAAGAAACAGCCAATAACACCGTAAAAGCCATCCAAGAAAACACCTCCAATTTGCTATTTTAAACCATACACAAAGTCACAGTTTTGTTTTTCTCATCATGAACCATGTGTGGCAGGATTTTATTTATAATGTGCATATATACCATACAGACCCATTCTCCGATATCTAGGCCAAAATTTACCACTCACAGAACTAGAACTACATAAAGGATCCCAGCCTCAATGACACAGTTCTATGTAATAGCCACTGAAAGGGTTAATATGCTAATCAAATCTACAAATGCTATCTTAACCTTTTACGTATAGTGACGGAAATTTAATGATACCTTAAAAGTAAAAAATAACCTAAATAAATAAATAAATAAAGGGTCCCCTCCATGTCAATGTCTACCACTTATATTGACTTTTTTGTTTTTTTCAACACATTAGCTTTCTTTCCCTGAGGTAGGTCAACCCAAAAAAGAAGTAATACTTTCACCATCATTCATTCTATCATTGTCTTGCCAGACATGTAGATACTACAGTTCAGATGCCTCATCCAAGAAGGTACTACTGTCCTTCCAAACAAGTGTGAAACAGAAACCTATAATCATTTTACACAATGATAGGACTGCTGGTGTCTTTTCTTTATCTCATAAACATGTAAGATAACAGGTACATCTTGTTACTTCTACTTACATTTAGGTCACACTATACATACATTATTTTTTTTATTTTTTTTATTATCACACTGGCCGATTCCCACCAAGGCAGGGTGGCCCGAAAAAGAAAAACTTTCACCATCATTCACTCCATCACTGTCTTGCCAGAAGGGTGCTTTACACTACAGTTTTTAAACTGCAACATTAACACCCCTCCTTCAGAGTGCAGGCACTGTACTTCCCATCTCCAGGACTCAAGTCCGGCCTGCCGGTTTCCCTGAACCCCTTCATAAATGTTACTTTGCTCACACTCCAACAGCACGTCAAGTATTAAAAACCATTTGTCTCCATTCACTCCTAACAAACACGCTCATGCATGCCTGCTGGAAGTCCAAGCCCCTCGCACACAAAACCTCCTTTACCCCCTCCCTCCAACCTTTCCTAGGCCGACCCCTACCCCGCCTTCCTTCCACTACAGACTGATACTCTCTTGAAGTCACTCTGTTTCGCTCCATTCTCTCTACATGTCCGAACCACCTCAACAACCCATCCTCAGCCCTCTGGACAACAGTTTTGGTAACCCCGCACCTCCTCCTAACTTCCAAACTATGAATTCTCTGCATTTATTCACACCACACATTGCCCTCAGACATGACATCTCCACTGCCTCCAGCCTTCTCCTCGCTGCAACATTCATCACCCATGCTTCACACCCATATAGGAGCGTTGGTAAAACTATACTCTCATACATTCCCCTCTTTGCCTCCAAGGACAAAGTTCTTTGTCTCCACAGACTCCTAAGTGCACCACTCACCCTTTTTCCCTCATCAATTCTATGATTCACCTCATCTTTCATAGACCCATCCGCTGACACGTCCACTCCCAAATATCTGAATACATTCACCTCCTCCATACTCTCTCCCTCCAATCTGATATCCAATCTTTCATCACCTAATCTTTTTGTTATCCTCATAACCTTACTCTTTCCTGTATTCACTTTTAATTTTCTTCTTTTACATACCCTACCAAATTCATCCACCAATCTCTGCAACTTCTCTTCAGAATCTCCCAAGAGCACAGTGTCATCAGCAAAGAGCAACTGTGACAACTCCCACTTTATGTGTGATTCTTTATCTTTTAACTCCACGCCCCTTGCCAAGACCCTCGCATTTACTTCTCTTACAACCCCATCTATAAATATATTAAACAACCACGGTGACATCACACATCCTTGTCTAAGGCCTACTTTTACTGGGAAATAATTTCCCTCTTTCCTACATACTCTAACTTGAGCCTCACTATCCTCGTAAAAACTTCACTGCTTTCAGTAACCTACCTCCTATACCATACACCTGCAACATCTGCCACATTGCCCCCCTATCCACCCTGTCATACGCCTTTTCCAAATCCATAAATGCCACAAAGACCTCTTTAGCCTTATCTAAATACTGTTCACTTATATGTTTCACTGTAAACACCTGGTCCACACACCCCCTACCTTTCCTAAAGCCTCCTTGTTCATCTGCTATCCTATTCTCCGTCTTACTCTTAATTCTTTCAATAATAACTCTACCAAACACTTTACCAGGTATACTCAACAGACTTATCCCCCTATAATTTTTGCACTCTCTTTTGTCCCCTTTGCCTTTATACAAAGGAACTATGCATGCTCTCTGCCAATCCCTAGGTACCTTACCCTCATCCATACATTTATTAAATAATTGCACCAACCACTCCAAAACTATATCCCCACCTGCTTTTAACATTTCTATCTTTATCTCATCAATCCCGGCTGCCTTACCCCCTTTCATTTTACCTACTGCCTCACGAACTTCCCCCACACTCACAACTGGCTCTTCCTCACTCCTACAAGATGTTATTCCTCCTTGCCCTATACACGAAATCACAGCTTCCCTATCTTCATCAACATTTAACAATTCCTCAAAATATTCCCTCCATCTTCCCAATACCTCTAACTCTCCATTTAATAACTCTCCTCTCCTATTTTTAACTGACAAATCCATTTGTTCTCTAGGCTTCCTTAACTTGTTAATCTCACTCCAAAACTTTTTCTTATTTTCAACAAAATTTGTTGATAACATCTCACCCACTCTCTCATTTGCTCTCTTTTTACATTGCTTCACCACTCTCTTAACCTCTCTCTTTTTCTCCATATACTCTTCCCTCCTTGCATCACTTCTACTTTGTAAAAACTTCTCATATGCTAACTTTTTCTCCCTTACTACTCTCTTTACATCATCATTCCACCAATCGCTCCTCTTCCCTCCCGCACCCACCTTCCTGTAACCACAAACTTCTGCTGAACACTCCAACACTACATTTTTAAACCTATCCCATACCTCTTCGACCCCATTGCCTATGCTCTCATTAGCCCATCTATCCTCCAATAGCTGTTTATATCTTACCCTAACTGCCTCCTCTTTTAGTTTATAAACCTTCACCTCTCTCTTCCCTGATGCTTCTATTCTCCTTGTATCCCATCTACCTTTTACTCTCAGTGTAGCTACAACTAGAAAGTGATCTGATATATCTGTGGCCCCTCTATAAACATGTACATCCTGAAGTCTACTCAACAGTCTTTATCTGCCAGTACATAATCCAACAAACTACTGTCATTTCGCCCTACATCATATCTTGTATACTTATTTATCCTCTTTTTCTTAAAATATGTATTACCTATAACTAAACCCCTTTCTAAAGAAATTTCAATCAAAGGGCTCCCATTATCATTTACACCTGGCACCCCAAACTTACCTACCACACCCTCTCTAAAAGTTTCTCCTACTTTAGCATTCAGGTCCCCTACCACAATTACTCTCTCACTTGGTTCAAAGGCTCCTATACATTCACTTAACATCTCTCAAAATCTCTCTCTCTCCTCTACATTCCTCTCTTCTCCAGGTGCATACACGCTTATTATGACCCACTTTTCGCATCCAACCTTTACTTTAATCCACATAATTCTTGAATTTACACATCCATATTCTCTTTTCTCCTTCCATAACTGATCCTTCAACATTACTGCTACCCCTTCCTTTGCTCTAACTCTCTCAGATACTCCAGATTTAATCCCATTTATTTCCCCCCACCGAAACTCCCCTACCCCCTTCAGCTTTGTTTCGCTTAGGGCCAGGACATCCAACTTCTTTTCATTCATAACATCAGCAATCATCTGTTTCTTGTCATCCGCACTACATCCACGCACATTCAAGCATCCCAGTTTTATAAAGTTTTTCTTCTTCTCTTTTTTAATAAATGTCTACAGGAGAAGGGGGTTACTAGCCCATTGCTCCCGGCATTTTAGTCGCCTCATACGACACGCATGGCTTACGGAGGAAAGATTCTTTTCCACTTCCCCATGGACAATAGAAGAAATAAAGAAGAACAAGAGCTATTTAGAAAAAGGAGAAAAACCTAGATGTACGTATATATATATATGCATGTGCGTGTCTGTGAAGTGTGACCAAAGTGTAAGTAGGAGTAGCAAGATATGCCTGTTATCTAGCATGTTTATGAGACAGAAAAAGAAACCAGCAATCCTACCATCATGCAAAATAGTTACAGGTTTCTGTTTCACAGTCATCTGGCAGGATGGTAGTACTTCCCTGGGTGGTTGCTGTCTACCAACCTACTGGGTTATCTCCACCAAATATGTTACCAAAGAAAACAGTGTCAAAGATATAGATAGTTTTATAGAAAAATATAATGAAAATTTACCCATATCCATTGCTATCCAATCTGATCCTTTTCCTTCTACAATCACTGGTGGATCTTGAGGATGCTTTTTCCGCTTGTAAACTTTACGAAGAAGCTGAGCCAAGGCACTGGTGTGTCTTTTAGAATGACTTGAAACAATAACCAGATATTGAACATACTTTATATCTGGAGGAACCTGCAAAATACCATTCCATATAAGAGATTGCCATTACTATATTTTGATGCATAAATGATTAAGAAAGACCTTTAAGAGATTAAGGGGTAACAAAAATTATTATTACACTGATGGGGAGTGCTAAACATGTAGGGGTCAAACAGAACCTTGGGAATGAGGTATTAAGATTCATCCCAAAGAAATGAAAGTCAGGTCCAATTCCTTGGATCAAGAGCCCCTCATTGGCTTCAACTAACTTCGCTTAAGAGGAGAGGAAAAATATAGTAAAGAACATAGGCTCCCCAACTTATGAAGGAGTTGCATTTCTAGTGTTTCGTCTTGCACATCTTTCAGAAAAATATAAATTATAATTGTGTGTCACACAACTGTAGACTGGAATTCACAAAACAATTATTTTCTCAATACATCTTTTAGATGTGCAAGAAAGGTATAAAATACCGACAATATGAAAGATAAGACACATGTGCAACATGTATCTTATCTTTCATATTGTCGGTATTTTATACCTTTCTTGCACAACTTGTCAGACACTGCAACATCATGGAATCTTGGTTCTCCTATTATGTCCAAGAATCTGTATTGATAAAGCCACTGGATGGCGAAACGTCTACAATAAAGATATCCAGATGTTGCACATGTGTCTTATCTTTCACATCTTTTAGACCTGGTTTGTAAGTGCAGATTATCATAACTTAAGACATTTATAAATCTATAGGTTTTCCCTAGCTATATGTAGTCTCACTTTATATGATTTATCATATTATGTCTTAGTTCTACCAGTAATTTCATATGCATGATACACATTTACAGTGCATTAGGTACAATTTGCAAAACTTGCTGAAGATTCTTCTTATGCAGAATTAGGTGGTGATGGCCATCAGTCTGGAACACATCTACAGTATATAGCAAGGGACACCTGCTTTTCTAACATTAGTTTACAAAATTTTTAATTTTTAAAATAATGTAAGGAAGCAAAATATTTGGAGCTGATTCTTTGTAGGGTAACCCAATTTAGTTAGAGAAATGTATATTTTATTAACCCTTAAACGGTCCAAACGTATATATACGTTTTTTCAACATTTGAAAGTATGTAAAAAAAGTAGATTTTTTTTTTTTTTTACATTTGAAAATGTGTAAAAAAAAACTTTGATCTACTTTTTTTTTGTTATATTTGAAAATATGTAAAAAAACATAGATCTACTTTTGGAGCACTACACATGTGAACGTAGATCTGCCTGGACCGTTTACGGGTTAAGATTAGGAGAAATAAAAGGGAAAATATTTTAAATTAAACAACAATTTAAGAAAGTGCAAAGATATAAATACAAGAGATGCAAGTATGCAATAGAGATGTTTAAACCATTCAAAATCTAACAGGTGCATTGCATACTAGTGGCTTTCTTTTGTGCCTAAGAATGTTTTAAATACATGTAAACTACATGATCTTTGTACCATATAGAAAGAAATTAAAATTTGAATTTTCTGAATGAGAACAAAACTGGTAACTGGGGCATGGAGCCTCTAACATCAATCATAACTGGTAAAATTTCTTAGTAAGCTGCAACAGACTGCATAGGCATGATACAGGAAACAAATGCCTCTTCAATGTCCCATGTGTTCCAGTCAACCTGAGTCAAAACTCAATGCTAATAAAAGGCCCCAAAATCTGGAACACTATCATATTCTAAAAGTTCCTCAACTTCCAAAGGTTTTAAAAATATTGTTTAAAAGCACTTGAACATGACATGCTTAATGATAAACACATACAGTATAAATGTAAACCATATCTATTGCAACCTGCCTATCAAATTTCTGTCCAGAATTTATATTCATGCACTACCTGTATTTTTCTACACTCAAAAATTTTCTTCTATTTGATATTACTCTCCCTTTATTATGATAATACTATTTTAATAATCAAAGTTTTGTTACTTAATGTGATCACTGTACTTAAATATCTTATCTTCATATAGTATTACATTCAGCATTTATATAAACTAACCTTAACTATTTTAGCATATAATTATAAGGTGTGTATAAACTTAAGTCTACTGAAATGCACTGAATAACCATGGGCTTTTCCATATATGACACAACCTATATTATTCTGATATACTACATTTATATCATCTTGGGAAATAAACTTATTTGTCTGTCTGTTTAGTGAGGAGTGAGAAGGGGACCCCCATAGGTAGAGAGTGGAAGACATGAGATGGACCTTCCCGGGAACTGAGAGGCAAGTAGCAGTGTAAATAATGTGCAACTTACTCTAGACAGACTCCCCACCCCAGACACTTTCAGCAGAAAAAAATATGAATCTCTGTGTAAACAATGTAAAAATCGTTTGCAAAATAAGTAATAAAAAATTACTGCAAATCCTAAAAGGAAACCTGTATAAATTGAACAGAGTGAGGGATTGATGACAAAATTTAATACAATAGAGAAATACCTTGTAATGGAAATGGAAGACAACATTAAAAAGCCACACACATAAAAAAAATGGATTTTGTGACATTATTATTATTATTGGACAGAAAGATCAAGAGATCATCACTGACATTTGTCACAGGAAGATCATAATGCAGTAAATGAAGAAATGAAGCCTAGAGAAACTTTTAAACTACACTGGCAAAATTTAAAAAAAAATCCACATATGTGGATGGAAGAATGCTGAAGAGGCTGTTCATAACATAATTTGAATCAAAATTTAAATGTACAGCAGTGTGTGGCACCCGCACCTTAAAAGAAAATATGTGGGCAATATTACAAAAAAAAAAACATCCAGTGTAGAACTACAAAATGGTTCCCAGAAGTGAAAAAAAAGTATTACAAAGGAAAGCTGAAAACACTGAAAATACCCTTGTTGACCAAAGGAAGATAACAATTGATATAATAACCAAATGTAAGGTAACAAAGGGTTACAAAAGTGATAAAGATTAATTAGCACTATCAACAGAGAGAACAAGAGGCCAGAGCAGTAAACTGAGAAAAAAGCAATACCAAAAGGATACTAAATAGTTTTTCATAAACAGAGTGGTAAAACAATGGAATGAACTGCAAGTACAGTTGATAATCCTTTAGTATTTGAAATGCTTGGGACCAGATGTGTTTCAGATTTTGTAATATTTGTATAATTGCATCTATAAAATGGGACAGCTTGGGGATGGAACCCAAGTCTAAACATGGTGCTGTACGGATTTTTTTTTTCTTTTTAACATGTCGGCTGTTTCCCACCAAGGCAGGGTGGCCCAAAAAGAAAGAAAAATGCTTTCATCATCATTCAATACTTTCACCATCACTCATACATAATCAGTGTCTTTGCAGAGGTGCTCAGATACGACAGTTTAGAAGTCCCTCCGAACTGCCGATATCATTGTACCAAAAAGCATGATCACTGTTTACAAAAAGAAGATAAATGCAGATTCAAACACTACAACTACTCCAGGCCTGAGACACATTAGGGAGAGGGTACATCATCGATGACATCACTGAGGAAGAACATCAAAAACAGTTGAGGGACCTGCAAGCGGATGCTCTGGAGGAACATCAGAAGCAGTTGAGGGACCTGGAAGTGGATACTCTAGGAATGAGGAAGCACTGTGCTGGATGACATTTTTTAATCATTCTTCCAGTGCCATCTGCGTCAAAAACAATGGTTTTTATCGTAGTAGTCTCTCATCAGCCGTAGTCAGTGTTTTTCTGGGGCAATAACACCAGGACAGCAATGTCTCATCAGCATTGTAGACTTCTTCTGCTGTTAGATTTTTATCAGAAACAATCATAGCAAACACACCAATGAATTTCTCTGCTACTTCGTAATCAGCAGATACTTTAAAGATAAAGATAAAAATATTTATTTTGACAAATTACATGATTGTACAGAGGAATATAACAGTTGGGTGTACATGCCAAAAGCCCCTTTATATGCAGAGCATTTCGGGCAAACTTAGAGATTAACTTAAGAATAGTAAGGCAATAATACATAGTTCATTTGGTCATTAGACGAATTACAATGAGTACAGTAGAACTGTATATTCTATCAGGTAATGATACATGGTTTTTATAAGTCTAGTAGAGACTTATTACACTATTGAATTAGTTGATAAAGATTACAGAATTACAATGTAACAATTTAAAACAATTTACAATATGATGTACATGTATTACAGTTGAGAACTATATTTAAAACAATGAAATTTGGTATTACAATGGAACAATTTACATTATGATGTACTGTATTACAATCCACTACTATTTAAAACAATAGAAAAATAAACATCCTAATTTCGAAGTAGTAAGTGGTTGAGCATTGATCAGCACAATATGAGTAGCTTTTGAGAAACTGGTAGTGGTTAGGTACGGTTTGTCTGGTTAATTTTAGGCGACGAGGTGATTTCTTATTAGGCCCTTAAACTGATTTGCAAACAGGGGTCCTTTAGTGTGTTTTGGTAATGAATTCCAGATCTTTGGGCCTTTTACGTGCATAGCATTTTTGCATAGGGAGAGATGAACATGAGGGATATCGAAGAGTGATCTGTGTCTCGTATTATGGTTGTGTGTTCTGTTATAGTTATCTAGATATTTAATGCTGTGCCTTTTCTTAATTTTTTTTTGTGACTAGCCTGCTGAATATTCATAGTTACCTTCAACATTCAGTTTGTCATGATAAATTTTTGCTTGTTTTATGATCAGCATTCCATTAAGCGGCATATGCTCACTCCATTGCTGACGAATCAACTCCATCAATAAACAATCGAGATTTTCACCACTTTCAGCATAAAACTTCAACAATTTGCCCTTCTGTTTCAATAGGTGGTAGACAGTGGTTTTGATAAATGGTTTAAAAAAAAATGACAAGTTGAAGATTGAGACACTTATGCAACATATGAGAATTTTTAATTAGGAAACATTTCACCCCACAGTGGCTTCATCAGTCCAATACAAAGATGAAAGGTGTAAGGAGAAGAGGAGTTTGAGGTAATCAGTCCCTCAACCTGGAGTCAATGTGTTCAGTCCATCAATCTTGTAGAATGTACAGCATAGGGCGAAGACGTGGCTTATATAATGTAGTCAGGTGAGGCGAAGCAGGAGGAGGCGGGATCATAGTGGAACCATCCACTAGTCTAAGGTCTTCGTCCAAAGGTTGGACAAGTTTTGAAGAATTCTTTGTATCAAGATCCCATGATGCTGCTGTGTCTGACAGACATGATAAATGGTTTAAAAAACCGACAAGTTGAAGACCTTTGGATGAAGACCTACTTAGACTAGTGGATGGTTCCACTATGACCCCCACAGTACAAAACACGTGGCAGTCAGCAAATAGGTAACTGCTGGTGACAACAAACTGGCTCTAACACAAAGATGAAGCTGGTCTGTCTTGGCTCAACAGACAGAGGATCGAGCCTGCACCACATCTTGCAATGAATGATCCATTTGTGGCGTGTCATGTCAACACTAAAAACTTTTGGATTTTGGAGGTTTTTTAGATTTTGGAATTTCAGATAAAGGATACTATACTGTACTAAGAAACAAGGAACATAAAAAATCGCAAAAAATAAACACTGAAAAGTAGAAACAATGAGTATACTTCTGCTTTTTTATACAGTGGATCCCCACCTTACGATGGCATCGTGTTACATTAAATCCGCCATACTATACATTTGAATGCAAAAATTTTGCCTCGCCTCATGCGATTCGTCCGGGATGCGTCCCACGTGTGGCCTCGGCGCCAGTGTTTACAAGCCAGCCAGTGAGGTCGCATCCACGCAAACATTCGGTACATTTCACCTTATCCCAGTGTTTTTTGTGCTTGTAACTGCAAAATAAGTCACCATGGGCCCCAAGAAAGCTTCTAGTGCCAACCCTGTGGTAAAAAGGGTGAGAATTAGTATGGAAATTAAGAAAGATTTTGAAGGGTTTGGGGCTAACCCTGAAAAGCCTATGCCAGTTGTGGAATCCATTGTGCCTACTTCAAAGATTAAGGAAATGTGTGCAAAGTGGGTTGAACTGCAAACCTTTATGGATGAAAAGCACCCTAACACAGCTATTGCAAGCCGTGCTGGTGACTATTACAATGACAATGTTGTGCCCCATTTTAGGGAAATCTTAAAGGAACAGGAGGTACAGACCTCTATGGACAGATTTGTTGTGTGACAGAGGTCCAGTGACTCTCAAGCTGGTCCTAGTGGCATTAAAAGAAGGGAAGCAACCCCGGAAAAGGACTTGCTACCTCAAGTCCTAATGGAAGGGGATTCCCCTTCTAAACATTAACTTTCACACTCTCCCCTCCCACTCCGTCTGCAGTCTCCTTTGCCCCTCCCCAATCTTCATGACTTTGCACTTGGTCGGGTTGAACTCCAGGAGCCAATTGCTGGACCACGTCTGCAGCCTTCCCAAATTCCTTTGAAGTTCTGCCTGGTCTTCGATCGAATGAATTCTTCTCATCAACTTCACGTCATCTGCAAACAGGGACACTTCAGAGTCTATTCCTTCCGTCATGTCGTTCACAAATGCCAGAAACAGTACTGGTCCTAGGACTGACCATGGGACCCTGCTGGTCACAGGCGCCCACTCTGACACCTCGCCACGTACCATGACTTGCTGCTGCCTTCCTGACAAGTATTCCCTGATCCATTGTAGTGCCTTCCCTGTTATCCCTGCTTGGTCCTCCAGTTTTTGCACTAATCTCTTGTGTGGAACTGTGTCAAATGCCTTCTTGCAGTCCAAGAAAATGCAATCCACCCACCCCTCTCTCTCTTGTCTTACTGCTGTCACCCTGTCATAGAACTCCAGTAGGTTTGTGACAGGATTTCCCGTCCCTGAAAACATGTTGGCTGCTGTTGATGAGATCATTCCTTTCTAGGTGTTCCACCACTTTTCTCCTGATAATCTTCTCCATGACTTTGCATACTATACATGTCAGTGACACTGGTCTGTAGTTTAGTGCTTCATGTCTGTCTCCTTTTTTTAAAGAATGGGACTACATCTGCTGTCTTCCATGCCTCAGGAAATCTCCCTGTTTCGATAGATGTATTGAATATTGTTGTTAGGGGTACACATAGTGCCTCTGCTTCCTCTCTCAGGACCCATGGAGAGATGTTATCCGGCCCCATTGCCTTTGAGATATCTAGCTCACTCAGAAGCCTCTTCACTTCTTCCTTGGTTGTGTGTACTGTGTCAAGCACCTGGTGGTGTACCCCACCTCTCCGTCTTTCTGGAGCCCCTTCTGTCTCCTCTGTGAACACTTCTTTGAATCTCTTGAGTTCCTCACATACTTCACGGTCATTTCTTGTTGTCTCTCCTCCTTTCTTCCTTAGCCTGATTACCTGGTCCTTGATTGTTGTTTTCCTCTTGATGTGGCTGTATAACAGCTTTGGGTCAGATTTGGCTTTCGCTGCTATGTTGTTTTCATACTGTCGCTGGGCCTCCCTTCTTATCTGTGCATATTCATTTCTGGCTCTACGACTGCTCTCCTTATTCTCCTGGATCCTTTGCCTTCTGTACTTCTTCCATTCCCTAGCACACTTGGTTTTTGCCTCCCTGCACCTTTGGGTGAACCATGGGCTCATCCTGGCTTTTTCATTATTCCTGTTACCCTTGGGTACAAACCTCTCCTCAGCCTCCTTGAACATTGTTGTTACATATTCCATCATTTCATTTACTGGCTTCCCTGCCAGTTCTCTGTCCCGCTGAACCCCGTTCAGGAAGTTCCTCATTCCAGTGTAGTCCTCTTTCTTGTAGTTTGGCTTCATTCGCCCTGGCCTTCCTGCTTCCCCCTCCACTTGTAGCTCTACTGTGTATTCAAAGCTTAAAACCACATGATCGCTGGCCCCAAGGGGTCTTTCATATGTGATGTCCTCAATATCTGCACTACTCAAGGTGAATACTAGGTCCAGTCTTGCTGGTTCATCCTCTCCTCTCACTCTTGTAGTGTCCCTTACGTGTTGGTACATGAAGTTTTCCAGTACCACCTCCATCATCTTAGCCCTCCATGTATCTTGGCCTCCATGTGGCTCCAAGTTCTCCCAATTGATTTCCTTGTGGTTAAAGTCACCCATGATCAGGAGCTTTGCACTGCATGCATGAGCCCTTCTGGCCACTGTAGCCAGTCAACCATCACTCTATTGCTCTCATCATACTCTTGCCTTGGCCTCCTGCTGTTCTGTGGTGGGTTATACATCACTGCAATTACCACCTTGGAACCTCCATAGTGAACTGTTCCCGCTATGTAATCGCTTGCTTCTCAGCTGTCTCCTCTCTCCAGCTCATCAAAATTCCATCGGTTTTTGATCAGCAGTGCCACTCCTCCACCCCCCCTGTTCCCTCTGTCTTCCCTCAGGATCTGGTATCCTGTTGGAAAGATGGCATCTGTTATCATACCTGTAAGCTTGGTTTCTGTGATTGCTATGATGTCCGGTGATGCCTCTTTGACTCTGTGTGTGTGTTTGTGTGTGTGCACATACTTCTAAATGTGCTGAGTCAGGGTCTGGCAGCTGTCAAAATGACATATTATATCATTACTCACTCCCCCTACTGCCTGTCAACACAATGGGGTCTGATGCTTGCTTCCCCACCTCCTTCCTTACCTAATTATCTTTCTTTCTTTCCTTCTTTTTAATTTCTCCTTTCTTCTTTCTCCTTCTTTCTCTTTCTCTTTATTTCTCCTTCTTTCTTTTTTCTTTCTATTTCTTTCCTTTTCTTTCTCTTTTTTCTCTTTTTCTCTTTATTTCTCCTTCTTTCTATTTCTTTCTCATTCTTTCTTTTTCTTTCTCTTTCTTTCTCCTTTCTCTTTTTTTTCTTTTTTTCTTTCTTTCTCTCTTTCTTTCTTTCTTTCTTTCTTCTGGTATACTGGGCATTGCTTTCCATCACAAATTCCTCAAAACCATGAAATTCATCTTCATCGACACTTCCATCTGTGTTAGAGCTATCACTTGGGAAGAGAAGAGGCCCAGATTCGCTGGGGAGTCACATATTTCTTACCACTAGGCATGCTGAACAAGGGCTACTGAAATGGCATTCTCACAATGCATCACTGGCTCCCCGATATTTTTTAGAGTACACACACTGACCATGGAGACCCATTCTCTCACATATGGGCCTACCAGCTTTCTTCTGCTTGATTTAAAGCCGCTAGAATTTATGCGTATTAATACTTCAGAAACATTGGGTATTAAGACGTATATAGCCGAAACAGTCGAAGGGTTAAGTAGACTATAGATTGGCAGTTGCTATAGCAGGCCACCTTCAGCAAGAATTCAGCATCCCATTGTTCCCATCATAGGAACTACTAATATACAAAACACACACTTTATGTAGATGAAGAAATACTACTGTCTTACTTTAAAGAATAGGTCATATTATTCTTACTCACAAATCATACACTAAAATGAATTTTAATCCTATTATTTTCAATATAATTATAAATACAATATAAGGGCTCACGTGAATGACTGCAATATCCTTAGCATTTTCTTCTCTGAGGAAATCTACCAGTTCTTCTACATCAAATACTCCAGTTTTGCCACCTGAAAAAAAAAGAGTAATAAAAAATATACAGTACTATTTTGCAGTTTATAAGACACACTTTTTTTTTCCATAAAATGTCTCCAAAAAACACCCTACATCCCATAAACTGAAGTTCAGTGACAGGAGCTGTAAGTTTGGGGTGTGGGGTGGGCTGTAGCTCTCCCTGTTATGTCCGATGCCAAGCCATTGAAACTAAAACAAGTCTTATAAGCCGCATCTTATAAGCCACGAAATACGGTACCTTATGGATGTGGTGGCTCTGGTGGCCTGGTGGTTAACGCTCTTGCTTCACATGGCGAGGGCCTGGGTTCGATTCCCAGCCAGAGTAGAAACATTGGGCGTGTTTCTTTCCACCTGTTGTCTATGTTCCCCATCAGTAAAATGTACCTGGGTGTTAGTCGACTGGTGTGGGTCGCATCCTGAGACACTGACATAATTTGCCCGAGATGCTCAGCATAACAAGTGGCTTTCTATGTAGTAGTATGTCATTGTTGTCAGCTAGGACTGTATACCATGTACATGTACTTGTAGTAAATAAAGATTATTATTATTATTATAAGTAAGCATATTCACATAATTTATAAACATATTAAACTTTGGAGCTACAGTGCATATTTTTGTGTATCAGTGGTTATTAACAATATTTTAGGTACAACCTAAATCATGGTGGTGGGGTCAATTATACAACTCGCTCCTTCAAACATATCACATGCTATACATAAAATAAATGCTAAATGAGAAAATTAATAAACTTGCTTCCTGAACAACAATGATCAAAGCTACATATGCCATCTTATTAATTAGAACCCTGACTTTGAACTACCACATATTTTAGAATGATTTTGAAAATGTTGAGTTTAAGATAAATTGCATTGCTAGTCACAATCTAGCTGCAGACAGTTTTTAAACACTCTTCTTGACAGTAAGCAATGAAAATCTTGCCTCATAGCAGTGGGTTACAGTACAGGGCATGATTACACAGAGCTTTTAATTCAGTGAACTGGTTCTTCCTTATACACAGATTCAGAATGCATTCACTCCTTATGCTTTTTAATCTAAGTGAAATGTCATGTCATACTGGATTTCAATGTGCTTTCTTGTCACTTGTTTGTTCTGGAGATTTCTTCTGCATTTCTACACTAAGCTGTATTCAATAATATTCTATGGATCCAGCCATCAAATTCTATGATAGTTCACCCAGATGTTTCACAAAAGAAATTGAAACTACTTGGTCTTTAATTAAGAAAGTAACTCAGGACTGAGAAAGTAGTAGCCATCCCTTCCACTGTTACCTCTTCCACAGCTTCAACTTGCTCAAACTTGAAATGAAGCAGTCAACTCAATGACCCCAGAAAAAGTATTCATGAGGTAATTACGATATTCACTTCAAATTTGAGAATCTTGGGGCCAGGGTATGATTCTTCATCAACATGTTATCCTCACTGCACAATGCTAATGCTCACTGTGGCAACTGTGCTTGCAAAGGCCACCTGACCTAAAAGTGATTCATTAATTAAAATATATATTAAAGATTCTAGAAATGAAATTTACTACTTGAATGACAACCTATTAGAGGAAAGATTTTCTTGATGGACGAGACAATGAAATATTATGCTATCTGCACTAAGTACCTTTGCAGATACTGCAGTACATACTATACCAACAGTTGTTGTGTTCTATTTTGCAACTCACCATGCCATAAAATAGAAACCCAATGTAATATATTAAATCTAGTGGACCATAGACCACCTTGTAGGCTGAGGCATTATCTACCATCACTTCATTTGTTACATCTTTCTTTCAAAGAAATTTCAGTTATCCATGAAATCATTTTGGTATCTTTTGAGGTGTCTGAACTTGTTCTCATAGGACTCATTACTCAGGCCTCTTCCAAAGAACATATACTGAGGGTTGACTACTAAATGATTAATGATATGCTTGAATCCAAGACTGAAGAACTTATTTTAGTAAAGTTGTTTTGCTGCTGTTTTTCCAGACATTACCATTCAAACGACTCTCTGACCTGCAACATTGTTCACCTCTCCTTCAGAGTGCAGGCACTGTACTTCTCACCTCCACCTACAGTAGGAATTTATATGATATACCTGTGATCCTGTAAGCCTATGAGGTAGAAACAAGACCAACAATCCTGCCAGAGTGCAAAACATTCAACAAGTTTCCATTGCACACAAATGAAAATCTGTTTATATTCAATGTTGTAACTCATCTTGGATAGTAACTGCCTGATTCTTACAGGACATATAACATCATCTTATTGACTTGTTCATTCAATTTTTAAACGTTTTCTCATGTTTTGTTAATGTTTTATTGTATTTTCCATGACCTATAGTTTGTACATCATTATGTCATATTCCAGAAATGAGTCCTGGTGATGGTGATTTGATTTATCTACCAAAACATTGATATGCACTTCACTAAATATCCAGAAAATATTTCAATTCTTTCCCACCTACTATTATTCCACCTTCACAAAGATTTATGAGATATTTCTTCAAATTTTTATTCTCATTACTTCATTAAGTTTCAACACAGAAGAAAAACTAATTAAAATTTTTAACAACCTTTATATAAAAGCAATAATATAAAAATATCCCACCTACCAGCAATAATACTACATACTATACTGGAGTTGTAACTTACGTTCTAAAGCAGTTTCTTTTTCTTTTATTTCTTCTTTAAATAATCCTTCCTCTCTTCGTAATTGTTCTTCATCATAATCGTATATAATTTCAAATGAACTTCCATCAAACTTCTTGTATTTCTGATAAATGTGCTGGGTCCATTCTGCAATACCAAAGAATTATTTAGCTTATTAATAAATACATGTACAGTATCATATAATCTTCTAGAATACAACTGATACAATGGGCTAAATTTATAAATATCATATTGAAGAATTAGATACTTTTGCAATCTTTGGGAATCTTTATTGTGGAAATATTTCGCTAACAAGTGGTTTCCTGTACCGGACTGAGGAAGTCACTTGTTGGCTAAATATTTCCACAATAAAGATTCCCAAATGTTGCAAGTGTCTAATTTTTCAACTTGGAGAATTTTCAAACCATTTACAAAGTATTGTGTTATAGAGTCATACCTACCATGTATGTACTATAAGAAAAGCATGAGGAATACATATTAATCTTACTATTTGTTGATAGCTTGGCTTCTAAATGTTCTCCAGTCTCTCCAGAAGCACCAACGGTCTTTATGGTTGATTCACTTTCCATTTCTTCTAAATCACTATCATTACTTAGAGTCCCTTTGTATATACAAGTTTCACTCTTAATATCATGATCTCTATATTTGTTAAATTCACTCTGAGTTCCTTCTTTTGCAATATCACTTTGCACCTCCTTTAACCACTCTTGGACCTTGGGATCTTGTGAAAAATCCACATTCACTGTCTTGTCCCTGTCCCGCAGCCAACAATGTGTGTTTAAACTGCGATGTGAAGACACTCCTGAAAGTTGAACTGGGAGATCACTCTGTACAGGAAATGACCCATAGAGTATTTGAGGATATTGGTGAATATTTCTTGGTTTGCACCTAACAGCAAACAGCAATGATGCTTTGGTACACAATTCACACGTCCTTGATGACAGAACACGGTACATGATGGTAACTTGTTGTTCTTCAACTCATCTGAAAAATTAACAAATGTTATATACATATACTATGTAGACTAGAGCAGAGTTTTATTGGCTATGTGGGTACACCAGGCAGACATGAGTAGGGTAGCCTACAGCCAAGTTAACCAGGAAAGAGCTCTGATGTTGTCTGGTAGACCTCTGAGCAGTAAGTGTGGACGAGTGTTTGAGGCGAGGACAGACCTAGGTACCTGCCCTCTGCCAGGATGCTGAAACTAGGCCATAAGTCAGCAATTTTCCCTACTGGGAGGTATATGAAACGGATGGAGTAGGCATACTGTCTACATATATACTAAGCCTAGGGACAGAGCCTCCAAGAGAAATTTTGCAAGGTGGAACAAGAGTGCTTTGGGGCAGCCTCAGCCTGCCCATAGGGGCAGGGTGATTCTTTTCTCAAAACTGACAATTTGAAGTCCAATAAAACCACTGGTGAACTTTCATAAATGCTTTATTTCCTGCAAAGCAGAACGACCAGATCACATTTACTTTATACATATGCTTCATAGATTTTGAAAATTTTTGTTGACCTATAACTATACCTATAACCTATAACTATATATAGGTAGTAGGTTGGTACACAGCAACCACCCAGGGGAGTACTACTGTCCTGCCAGATGACTGTGAAACAGAAACCTGTAACTGTTTTGCATGATGGTAGGATTGCTGGTTTCTTTTTCTGTCTTATAAACACGCTAGATAACAGGGATATCTTGCTACTCCTACTTACACTTTGGTCACACTTCACAGACACGCACATGCATATATATATACATACATCTAGGTTTTTCTCCTTTTTCTAAATAGCTCTTGTTCTTCTTTATTTCTTCTATTGTCCATGGGGAAGTGGAAAAGAATCTTTCCTCCGTAAGCCATGCGTGTCGTATGAGGCGACTAAAATGCCGGGAGCAATGGGCTAGTAACCCCTTCTCTGTAGACATTTACTATAAAAGAGAAGAAGAAAAACTTTATAAAACTGGGATGCTTGAATGTGCGTGGATGTAGTGCGGATGACAAGAAACAGATGATTGCTGATGTTATGAATGAAAAGAAGTTGGATGTCCTGGCCCTAAGCGAAACAAAGCTGAAGGGGGTAGGGGAGTTTCGGTGGGGGGAAATAAATGGGATTAAATCTGGAGTATCTGAGAGAGTTAGAGCAAAGGAAGGGGTAGCAGTAATGTTGAAGGATCAGTTATGGAAGGAGAAAAGAGAATATGAATGTGTAAATTCAAGAATTATGTGGATTAAACATAAGAACATAAGAACGAAGGAACACTGCAGAAGGCCTACTGGCCCATGCGATGCAGGTCAAAGTCTCCTACCGGCTTAAGCCAATGCACCCAACCTAGTCAGGTCAGGTCACATTGACTTAAGGGAGGAACACGGCAACCGACCTGGTAGCACAAGCTATCAGGTCCAACTCACACTCACCCACATCCACTCATGTATTTATCCAACCTATTTTTAAAGCTACACAACATTCTGGCCTCTATAACTGTACTCGGGAGTTTGTTCCACTCATCCACAACTCTATTACCAAACCAGTACTTTCCTATATCCTTCCTGAATCTGAATTTTTCCAACTTAAAACCATTGCTGCGAGTCCTGTCTAGGCTAGATATTTTCAGCACACTATTTACATCCCCTTTATTAATTCCTGTCTTCCATTTATACACCTCAATCATATCCCCCCTAATTCTACGTCTTTCTAGAGAGTGCAGATTCAGGGCCCTCAGTCTATCCTCATAGGGAAGGTTTCTGATACATGGGATCAACTTTGTCATCCTCCTTTGTACATTTTCCAGAGAATTTATATCCATTCTGTAATACGGTGACCAAAACTGTGCAGCATAATCTAAATGAGGCCTAACCAAGGATGTATAGAGTTGAAGAACAACCTGAGGACTCCTATTATTTATGCTTCTTGATATGAAGCCAAGGATTCTATTCGCTTTATTGCGAACACTTATGCACTGTTGTCTTGGTTTCAGATTACTGCTAACCAGAACTCCTAAATCTTTTTCGCAATCCGTAATATTAAGATCTACATTATTTAGTTTATATGTGGCATGGTTATTGTCCTGTCCAACATTTAGAACTTTGCATTTGTCTATATTAAACTGCATCTGCCACTTCTCCGACCACTGCATCAGTCTATTCAAATCTTCCTGGAGTGCTCGAATGTCCTCGTCAGAATGGATTCGACGGCCTATTTTGGTGTCATCGGCAAACTTGCCGATGTCGCTCTTTATGCCCTCATCTATGTCGTTTATGTAGATTGTGAACAGCAGGGGGCCCAACACTGACCCCTGTGGAACACCGCTCGTGACGCTTCCCCACTCTGATTTCTCCCCATTTATGCAAACTCTCTGCTGCCTATTTGTCAACCATGCCTCTATCAGGAAAAAATTTCTCCTCCTATTCCATGTGCTTTAATTTTCCTCAATAGTCTCTGATGTGGGACCCTGTCAAAAGCCTTACTGAAGTCCATATACACAATATCATATTCATTACCATGATCTACCTCCTCAATACCTTAGTGAAAAAAGTTAATAAATTCGTAAGGCAGGAACGCCCCTTTGTAAAACCATGCTGAGATTCGTTGATTAATTTATGCTTTTCAAGGTGGCTACGAACTGCCTCGGCAATTATTGATTCCATAAATTTTCCCACTATGGAGGTTAGGCTTATTGGTCTATAGTTCGAAGCTAAGGACCTGTCACCTGTTTTGAAAATAGGTATCACATTTGCCATTTTCCACTTATCTGGCACCATGCCAGTTTGTAGTGATATGTTGAAAAGATTAGCCAAAGGTGTGCTAAGCTCCTCTTTACATTCCTTTAGAACCCTTGCATACAGTTCATCAGGGCCTGGGGATTTGTTAGGTTTTAATTTATCTATTTGCCTAAGGACCATGTCACTTGTGACCCTAATCGTGCACAGTTTATTATCATCCTGTTCTACATAATTTATCATTACTGGAATATCGCTGGTATCCTCCTGTGTAAAAACTGAGAGGAAGTATGTGTTAAAAATTCTACACATTTCCTTATCACTGTCAGTGAGCTGACCCGAGGAACTTTTGAGTGGGCCTATCTTGTCCCTGATCTTACTTCTGTATACCTGAAAGAATCCTTTTGGGTTAGTCTTCGATTCTCTTGCAACTTTAACCTCATAATCTCTTTTTGCTTTTCTAATTCCCTTTTTTATTTCTCTCTTTAACTGAATATATCGATTTCTTAATTGCCCCTCTCCTCTTTTGATTTGCCTATATATGCCTCTCTTTTGACCAATCAGATATTTTAATCTATTGTTCATCCATTTAGGATCATTTTTGTTTGATCTGATTTCCCTATTTGGAACATAATTTGACTGAGCAGCTAGAACTATGCCCTGGAAAGCATCATATCGGCAACCATCACCACCTACCTGACCCTTAGTCAGGTCATTCCAGTTCAGCCCACCTAAGTAATTTTTAAGTCCTATGAAATCAGCCAAGCGAAAGTCAGGGACGGAGACTTGATTGCCATTATTAGGGGAATTCCATGATATATTAAAACTGAGTGATTTGTGATCACTTTCCCCAAGCTCATCATTAACCTCAAGATTATTAATTAGTGTTTCCCTACTGGCAAGAACCAAGTCAAGGAGGTTATTTCCCCTAGTTGGCTCTGTCACAAACTGTTTTAAAAAACAATCCTGGATCGTATCAAGAAAGTCACCTGACTCTAAATTTCCTGTCAAATTGCTCCAGTCAATCTGTCTATAGTTGAAATCTCCCATTAGCACAACATTTTCGTATGTAGATGCCTTACGAATTTCGTCCCATAGAAGTTTACTGCACTCCCTATCAAGATTTGGGGCCCTGTAAATCACACCCAAAATTAGTTTTTCTCGGCCCTCGAGAAGCTGTAACCAAACAGATTCAGTGGCTGACGCTTCTAATTTAATATCTTGTTGGATGCGAAAAGTGGGTCATAATAAGCGTGTATGCACCTGGAGAAGAGAGGAATGTAGAGGAGAGAGAGAGATTTTAGGAGATGTTAAGTGAATGTATAGGAGCCTTTGAACCAAGTGAGAGAGTAATTATGGAAGAGGATCTGAATGCTAAAGTAGGAGAAACTTTTAGAGAGGGTGTGGTGGGTAAGTTTGGGGTGCCAGGTGTAAATGAAAATGGGAGCCCTTTGATTGAACTTTGTATAGAAAGGGGTTTAGTTATAGGTAATACATATTTTAAGAAAAAGAGGATAAATAAGTATACAAGACATGATGTAGGGCAAAATGACAGTAGTTTGTTGGATTATGTATTGGTAGATAAAAGACTGTTGAGTAGACTTCAGGATGTACATGTTTATAGAGGGGCCACAGATATATCAGATCACTTTCTAGTTGTAGCTACACTGAGAGTAAAAGGTAGATAGGATACAAGGAGAATAGAAGCATCAGGGAAGAGAGAGGTGAAGGTTTATAAACTAAAAGAGGAGGCAGTTAGGGTAAGATATAAACAGCTATTGCAGGATAGATGGGCTAATGAGAGCATAGGCAATGGGGTCGAAGAGGTATGGGATAGGTTTAAAAATGTAGTGTTAGAGTGTTCAGCAGAAGTTTGTAGTTGCAGGAAGGTGGGTGCGGGAGGGAAGAGGAGCGATTGGTGGAATGATGATGTAAAGAGAGTAGTAAGGGAGAAAAAGTTAGCATATGAGAAGTTTTTACAAAGTAGAAGTGATGCAAGGAGGGAAGAGTATATGGAGAAAAACAGAGAGGTTATGAGAGTGGTGAAGCAATGTAAAAAGAGAGCAAATGAGAGAGTGGGTGAGATGTTATCAACAAATTTTGTTGAAAATAAGAAAAAGTTTTGGAGTGAGATTAACAAGTTAAGGAAGCCTAGAGAACAAATGGATTTGTCAGTTAAAAATAGGAGAGGAGAGTTATCAAATGGAGAGTTAGAGGTATTGGGAAGATGGAGGGAATATTTCAAGGAATTGTTAAATATTGATG